GACCATGTTATTTATAGGCCCAAAGTAGGCCTATTTCAGCACCCTAGGCATAGTCACACAATGACATATTCACTGCTGCTGCAAGATGTCGCAGATTATGCTCTGAGGAGGGAACACATTTCCCAGGACCATGTAGATCTATTTGCAGAGAGTGACGAGTACTTCTCTGGTTGCTGTCTTCATGGAGCTGTGCAGTAGTTTGGAGCCAGCCTCTTTTTTTCTGTTTTATATCCACTGACTAAATATGTCTCCTTGTTTGGCTGCAGAAGTACCTCCACTTCAGAGCTATTGAATATATGTATATTTATTTTTTCCTCCTTTACTTGATTCTCTTAACTTCTTCTTCTTTTCAATTTCGATGTGTGCACACGGCCCTGCAGTCTCATAGTGTGGATTAACAGGGCATTTATCTATGCAAATTAGGCACACGCTTTCTATTTACTGGGACAAAGGGATTTATCATTGCAAGAACACAGGTGCGAACAATTCAGCGTTTTAAAAGGATAGTTTGGGTCTTTTGAGGTGGTGTTGTATGAGGTACTTCTCCATAGTCGGTGTATTACCCACAGTAGATGGCGGCGTTCACGCCCCCAGTTTGTAGAAATCGACAGGAGTTTGGGAACAGGAGTAAAGCAATGTATCGCTGTGGACGAGGGCAGCAGAAAAACGTGGAATGGCAGAGTCAAGGAGAGAGAGAGAGAATTGTCTGTTTACATTTCAAAATAATCCAGCCCAAGCCCAAAGCTTAACAAGTAATTGACCCATACCCAGCCCGCCACACAACCTATTGTCGTGACTGTGTAGGGTTCCTGTCAGACTGCTGAACTGTAACATGCCAGAATCATGACTCCAAGTGAATGTCACTCTGGATCAGCTGAATGTTTTAATAGGCAACTGTGTGCTGACAAGTTCCCCGTATCTACTTAAAATGTGATGGTGCGCGAGTGTAGTCTTCGCAGCTTGTGCCCAATGCCCTCAAGTGGCAAAAAAATGATATAACTTCAAGATAGATTTTATAATACCAGCAACACACACAAACAGCAGCTAAAAATGGAAAAACATAATTGTCAACAGTTGGCACATGTCACAACAGTAGTAGCTGTTTTCTTGGCACGTCTACATTTCCTGTTCCTGTTCCTGTGCTGCTACTATTGTTGCCATGAATTCGAGCTTTCCGCGTGTCACTTAACGCCGTTATCATTCCCAAATTGTCACATAAGGACCCACTGTCGCAGTTTTGAGGTTAACTTAATTCAAACAAAAGGGATTTGGTTAGTTTTAGGAAAAGATCACGGCTTGGGTTCAAATAAGTATAGCTGTTACATAAATTACGTTCTGTAACTTTAGTAGTCAATGGTTGACTTTTGGTTTCACACGTAACAAGAACAGCATGTCTCCTGGGTGCAAGTTATGCGTCTTCTGTTTCAACCCTCCACCACCCTGTCCATGTCCTAATGCAGCCTTTTCTCAACTTTCCCGCTCTTTATATTGCGTCCTCTGACTTCAGGAGCACTTGCTCTTAGCGTCTAATATCGCCGCGACACAAAAAGCTAAAAATACGTAGTGACAAAAAATGACTGAAACTGGTGCGTTATTCGTACCACGTTTTGTGCTCCCATTCTCATAGAAGCGTTCACACCGGCCCAACCAGTTTTTACTTTTAAACAAAGCTAGTAGTATTTGTCGACAACAACGGACCATATCTTTCACCAGTGTTACAACCTGGCTCAAAAGGCCGCAACATAAGGCAGACAAGACGAGTTAAAAGTAATAAATACACATTTACTGTATTTACAGAACCAATAAACTAAACAAACAAGACAAGCAAGCAGCTGTGTCATCCATAGAAGGAGGCAGAAAAGAGGGGGAGCCATCTCTGTTAAGGTGCCGAGTCTTTATACCTGGCACTCCCACCAGGCTCAGGTGTGTCCCATCAGCTGGCGAGCAACAACCTGAAAGACAGAAAGAGACAAACAGGACACATCACAGAATAATGAATGTTTTGTTGTGCACAGGGTGTGGTGTTGATGTGCATCCTAGATCCCTACCTTAACTGCCTCCCTTACCTTTCATCTCTTCTCATTCTTTGTGATCAAATTATGCAAAATACTTTATGCAAAACATTTTCTTTTCTCATAACTGTCCTCTGTTTTTTTGGGGGAGGGTTTATAATTCCCCACACATGCCCTTACGTCTGTCAGACTTGGCTAAGGAGATGTTCTCAAAAAATATTTCCTGTTGCTAATTCTCCCAGAAAAATCCTTTCCAATTAGTGAAGTGTAGTCACAGTTCACCATGGCACAACATAGTCTTGCCTTTGGTGACAGGAAGAACTTAGCGGCTGGCCTGCCACTGTTTCTCATCCCTGTCACAGCTGAATTCACGACACCGCTAAAGGGGGGGGGGGGGCGGTTGTTGAGGTTTGTGAGGAGAACACACTTCCACTGAAAGGACTGTACAGTCTTTCGCCACATTCACTGCACACTGCACTCTATAATTGAAATCACCATGTCCCTGCTGTGTTCTCAAGTGAAATAAAAAAAATGGGAATAAAAGCCATATATAACACAAACAGAAAATCTGAATACACATCTTGGTATTCCAGCGGAGTGGAGGACAAAAAAAAAATGGAGTCATGTGGCAAGAAAAGCCTTTAGAGGGATATTGCTCCACGGAGAGTAGAACGCTCACACATCAGTGCTTTTCAAAAAGATCTGTAAGAAAGAATTGTGAGACAAATGCTTGTTTGCACTGCAGCAGCAGCAGCAGAATGAATGTAAAGGATTTATTCTGTCCAAAATGGATTTCCTCTGGCATGTTTCTTGACATCATCAGGAAGCTGCACAGGATGATGCTTTTGCTGACAGCTCGGACAAAACATCAGATTTGCTCTTGTTATCAGCTCTTCAAAGCCTAATGTGTCAGACTGCCACTTTAAAAAGAACTCATGTGAACACTTGGAAAATGTATACATGAGTAAAGTAAAGTGAGTATCAACACAAATAATTTTATGAGCAGAAACTACAATTTTAAACAAACACGGTCTGTCTGACGATTCATGACACTAACAGCATCTTGTTCTAACAACGCTGAGAGCTGGATGAGACGATGGATATTCAGTATATTACACTGATTGCTTTGTGCATAATGGGTTCCCATATAACTGCTCTTTTTTGATTTACGCACAATCAGAATAGAATATAATACATTATCATATTCTTACTGTTGGTACTATTGGTCTTTATCTTTTTGCAAATAACACTTGTTGCGTGTTTTAAATCCTGCCGTCAGGGTGGCAAACTGGTTTAGGATGATTCATTATCATGGTACACAAAAGGAACAAGAGGATAAAAGGGTGTTCATGTGTGCCAAGATTTGGGTTTCTAGTAGCTCTGTGTAATTATACTCGGTGCTAAGAACAACAGTACATGGTGTTAAGATCCATTGTTGATGTTGGACATTTTGCGTTTTCATTATTTCAATGCCACATTTTCTATGGGAAGACAAAATTACAAACCGGAGACAAGAGTTTGCATCGGCCCATTAGCGCAAAACAATGAAAGATCTTATGTGTGGCAGCCCGAGTCGTCAGTGCTGAATGTCAATGATTTTTGGGTTTCTCATTCTCCAGGATGTCTGCATTAAAGCCCGGTCACATCAGAAAGTGCTGCAGCGGAATCCATCCGCACATCTCTGCAAAATATGTGTTGCTTGACGCCTGGTTTTGTAGGGACTACTCAGGGTGGTAATTGGTACATTACTGTGGCTGACAAGCTAACTGCTAAGGCGCCCTCGCTAACTGTTAAGGCGCTACCTAGGGTGCCTTAGCAGTTAGTTTGACGGGCGCTAATATGCTTGCAGTAGTGAGTCACAATGACCTTTCATGAATGAAGTTATTAATAAAATAATTTGGGGAAGATGTTGATTGTCAGGTTCCTGGCATCGTGCATACTGGCTCGCTGCCACTCTCACGGGAACACTTGAACACAATAAAGCCATTGTTGTCAATAGGTACACCTGCGTCAAAGTGTCTGCTGTGAGAAAGTCTGATTAAAGAGGGAGAAAAAAAATTTCTGCGCTAATACTCAAGCTAACCTCCAGTTAACAAGCTTGTTAGCTCGGCTTCCTAACTGTCAGTTAGCTAGACGTCCTAACTGTCAGTTAGCGAGCTTGTTTTCTTGGTTGTTTCAGGTAAAAAAATGGATGAAGCAACACCACTAATAACCTTTGACAGCTTCCTCTGCTTTGGAGGCTTCAGTATTGCCGAAACGTCTTTCTATTGGTAAACGGCGCAACTTTATCTGTCAGTGTTGTTCACCTAAGTTAATTCCATTAAAGTGAGTTTATCTCGCTGATTTTGCTGTTTCAAATGCCGGTGAGACCAGTCACCAAGCCTTTTAAGGATCATTCCTGAGTGGTCACAGCCTGATTATTCAGTGAAATAAAACGTCATTATAGACTTCTCATACAGTGAACATTTTGACTTGTTGACTAATAACACCTTAATAACAATAATACTGGCTGCATTCCACTCAGGTGTGCCAGTTAGCTGGCCCTGCGATTTTGAATGCTGCCTCACTGGCTGGGCTTACCGACACACATAAAGAGAACGGAGCCGTTGCTAATGATATTAGTTACACCTGTGCTTCTCCTGCTATGAAGGAGCAAAGCCTATTTTCTGTGTTATCAAAGAGGACAGTAAATGAGTGCTAAGACGGCGATGTATGATGAATACCAAGTGAATTGTGAATTTATCCCCCTTGCCAATAGTGGCCTGCGTTCACCACCACAAATTGGGAAAATGGAAATGAAGATATCATTTATTTACATACAGTACAGCCATAGTTGGAAGTAACATGTAATATGTGCTTCTGTGGTCTTTATGTATGGCTGTTGTCTTGGATGCTCATACTTAGGAATGTACCACAGTATATCCAAAGTATGTCGGTACAGAATTGTAAAAATCTACATATAAATTGTTATCAAATCTCTCCCCACAGTCCAAAAGCTACATGTGCAGCAGCCAGGGGAATGTGCTGTGCTTCACCATAGATTTTGGATCGGGGTTCACCTGCTCAGAAGGCAATTCAAAGGTGAAGTATTACTCAGTTCAATTACTGTTGGCATCCGGATTCTGTACTGTTCCCTTAATAGCGCCAGAAAATGCAGTTTGACACCTTTTTTTCTGTATTGATGCCCAGTATTCGTCCTTCCTCAAAAGGCTTCCATTGTATTTGAAAATGTATTTTTAATAGCCACATAATTAAAAAAAAGACTTTCCAGTGCCACCAATTTTGCACAATGGACTTTCCAGAATAAAGGAGAGAGTAACTGTATCTCAGAGAATGGTGTGCCATTGTTAAAGATATTATTTTGGCAGCCTTGCCTCATTTTCTGTCCATTTAATCGCTGCAAGAATGTCACAGCACTGATTTCTAAAGTACTAATCTACTTTTGTCATAAACTGTACAGTTCCTCAAAGTACTATTACACATTGAACTGTCAGGTCTTGATCATGCAGTTCTCTCCGTAGTAAGACATGGCATTTAAATCTTGTACTCATTATTGAAATCCCTGTGCTGCTGGGTTTTATAATCCCCTCCCTCCCGTTTAGACCGCACTGTGGCGATACAAGTTCTCTCAACTTAAAGGCTCCTCTGATGATGGGAAAACCAGGGTAAAACTCCTCTTCAAGAATGCTGAAAGCAACCAAATAGAGATGAAGGTAATTAGAAGGGAGTCTTTCTTCTTTTTTTTTTACATTAAAATTACACAATGAGCTGTGATTTTTGCTCACTGATACCAATGAGCTAATGGACAATTTTACAGAATGTCTAGTGAGAAATATTCCCGTGTCTGGTGTACTTCAGTTTTCAAAGAGATCTTAAGTTCGAGAATTGTGTTATTTAAAATATAAACATCTTGTACAAATTGATGTGTCTCTCTGTCCTTCTTATTCAGGAACTGGAGTTTGCAAATCTAACAGCCGTCCTTCACTGTATACATTCTTTTATCGCTGCCAAAGTGGCCTCCATGGACCCTCTCTTTATGTGCAGTCAAAGCCTCCCTGGAAATTACATGAACACTTGAGAAGACCCGTCCTCATTGTCATGTGCACCTGTGGCAAATCGGCAGTATTTTATTTTCAGCACAGAGCCAATTGATATGTACATACTGTTCTTGTTATTTTTGTATGAACTGAAAATAATAAATATTTGTAAAAGACTGTAAAAGTAGATAATGTATGAATTAATTGTGGAATGAAGATGTTGTTAAATTTTTGACCAAAAACAAAAAAATACAATCTAAACAGATGAACAGTTTTTCCTTTTTCCGTAGTATTTTTTTAGCTCATTACATTGTGGAATCCCAGCGGTTACTTCTTGTCTACTTGTCACTTTGAAAGGCAGCGCCCGTGCTGCCATATGGTGTAGAACTGCCATATATTTGACAACCGGACACGAATCGCCAAACACGGAAGCTGCCACTATTTTGAGCAGATAATCTCAGCTAGTGCTGTATCTATGAAGAATAATGATGCCCTACCTACATCTAGTGAGTAAGTACATGTTGCACAGACATAATGAATCTGATGCTGGCTCACTGTCATGGGGGGATTCACATTTTTGAAAGAGCTTTGACAGGGGGGGGTTTCTTTACTTCAAATTCACAGTTGAACAGTAATGAAAAAGCTAACCTTTCTCTGCTCCCAGTTCCTCTGGTTTACTTTCCTTTATACTTCCATGTCTGTAAACCCAAACACCACAATAAAATGCAGTCTAATAAGCCTCCAAAAAACCACTGAATTGAATCAACATCTCTGATTAAATTGTATGATGTTTGTGCTATTGTGACCATCTTTTTTTTAAAACCAAATAAGGACAAGAGTTTCCAATATCTGGGCAATGAGGACCTTTCACTGAAATGTGACATTTCAGCTTCAAAGTATTATGAAAGACACTCTTTTTTCAACTCCCATTCTAATGCATTGGACAAGCTGTATGTCTATATAATGGTTTTACTGTGAAAATCCATTGCTGTGATGCAATAAATTGCTCATAAAGCGAAACTGCCTGTCATCTGACCCATGCCGCAGCTCCCTGTAGGTTTGAACTTTGAAAGTGGAGGGCGTGCAGTGGATGTAACTTTATCCCTGCCACTAAAGGTGGTTGTCCGATTTTAACCCATAAGCTTGTCCCAGTCATTATGTGTAATATAGTATAAAATGTGCTGAGCTTAGTTTGTTTTAAAGGAAATAAAAATAGGCTTTATTGTACGTTTTACAGGGGATGTGATGGAATGTTTCTTTGACTGGCACTGTAGTTGTGTGTCCATTCACTTGTTGAGCAATTTTAACAGAACTTTTGAAATGTTGCAAAAAAGTACGAATTAGGTGTGTTTACATTAGCTGGTTTGGAGCGAATAAACTAGGCTATGCAAAGCGCAGTTTCATCAGAAGTTGGAGCTACAGGCTACTCTCTGCACATTGCTGTAACCCGCCAGTAAAGAGAATACAAGAAGCAGAGGTTGCAAACGGAAACAAAACAAGTTGACTTTTGACAAAGGCACTTCAGGCAAGCATACACACATTTTTTTTTTTCTTTCTGCAGTAGACCCTTCGCTAAGTCCCGCCCTAGAACTCAGACTGGCCAATCACAGCTTCAGCCAGCTCTGCACAGGGTTCAACAACTAACTGGCTCTGCTTCAAAGACTCTGATGCAATTGTTTCAGATTCTCTTCAAATTCAGGCTGGTTTTGTTTATTTGGAGCTAGTCATGGTTAGACGCGTTGTAATAGTGATACTCGTTAGCTGAGAGGTTGGACGGAGATATACGTTTCTATGTGAAAACCTGTGGATCTAATATTAGCAGAGTACGTTAGCATATCATGAACTAGTGTTAGCGTGTCTATTTTCTACTACTTTTGCTTTTTTTAAATAAATGTAACAGTGAATAAAGACCTAACCGCCTCTACAGGAGCAGTGCTGTTCCTTAAATTCATTGTCTTCTGTCTCGATTGCCAGGTAATGCGGCGGTTCACTTTTACACAGTGATCTGTCACTGTATGACATCCTGGATCTGTCTTTATCTTTATTGAAGTTATTGTAGGCCCTTCTGTCTGCTTTCCTCTGAAGTTGCTTTGTCCTTTTTCCAAAAATCTGATGCTAATTGCAGTTAGTGACAGTGTGGGCTCCATGATGGCAGCAGGGCTTGGAGAAGGGTCATTTGAGGAAGTTTATTGCATTTTACTATTTCCATACAGATTCCCCAATACAATACTTTAATATGTGCCTAGAAATAAGTTTACGTCCTGCCTTGGCACAATGAGATTGCCAGGCAACAAGAGATACATAGATAACCCTTTAAAAACTTTGTTTTTTGCATGAATTAAACTGGATGTGGTCTTTAGAAGTACTGGTAGGCAGATTCTGTTACTTTTGGATAGGACCAGGCAAGACCCTCCAGTCTAAGCTCACCATCTCTTGGCCGTGCCTTCCTTTTCAATGGACAGATAAATGAGTGGCATTGATCTTTTATGTAACTCGAATAAGAGCATTTCAAAAAATGTCATGCTATTTTTTGGCATGTATTGCAGATGGGTATATAAATCTTAAGTCTGCATAAATAACATGTAGGCTAATGGTAGTCAATGCTATGAAGAAAGTTGATTTAAAGTTCAGAAAAAAATGTAATTATTAGTTTTATTCTACTTTCGATCACAATGTCACTTTCTTTCGGAACTCCTGCTGTTGGCGTGGGGATGATTCTACAAGTCACTATCTGCATCTGGTCACTCACCTGAAAAGCATATCCTGCACAGATGCTGTCCCTATTTGTCCCAACTCCACGGAGGCAGCCTGACACACCATGAAGGATGATCCCCGGAACGTTCTCCCACTGGTGAGCAATCGCAAGTTGCGTTTAAAGCTCGAGGTTTAACTGCAGCAGATTGAACCCTGCTTGCATGGTTTTCTCTCTGCATCGGCATCTTGGACAGAAATGGCAGACGCTGTCAGCCGCAATTTAGAGAAGTTTATAACATTGGCTTCAATTCCAGGAGATAAACGGTTTCAAAAACTCTATCGAAGACCATTTCAAATTCACCTGCAAAGTCAAACGGGTATATAACACTACCATTAACATGTCCAATTTTGCACTGTATTCACGGGAAATCATATATACCGCATTTCAAGTGAAACTACAAATTAACATTCAACCTGTCTGATGGGTTTATTACTAGGGCGGTTCATTTTGCATTGTTTTGATGCACTGATGACATCGTTGTGGCAACCACTTGTTGATTCACCGCTTAAAATTTTACGAACCCAATAACAGGACAATGGTTGTCATTTTTCATTTGATTGATAGGGATCAGCCCTCTCTGCTTGGCAAATCTTTGGAAGCGTCACCCTACTTAGGTATTAATGAAATGTGTGGGTCAAATGGTTTCTAATTTTAGTCTATGAGTCATGGTGGACATTGTTTACCTATGCTCTGTCTGTGATCACGTATCACTGAACTGAACCTGACATGCTCTTTTGACTTCATTTAAGGAATAAAATATAAACTTTAAAATGCTTATTACCTTGGTGTCCTCAATAGTAGCTGCATCCCTGGCTGGCAAAAGCGACATCTTTTCATACCCTTGTGTGTCGCACAGTGAAAAAGCAACAGTTGTCAGAAAGACTGCCGCCAAAACTGAATTAAGGACATTTAAATGGGATATTTGAAGACAACACAATGGACTACAGTAGTAGAATTTACCATACAGTGGATTAAACGCCTTTCAACAAAGTGAAAAACTTAACTTTGCTTAACTTCAGAAGGTTTACATATATTGCGACTGCCTTGTATTACATTGAACTATATTGTACAGGTTTCAGTTATTTTGTCGATCCTCCAAAATAACAATAATAAAGTATACTCTTAAGTAGTTCCCACATTGAGCACAAAATATTCAGATATGCCAGAAGTTTTGTTTTTAGATGTCGCTCGCTTCACTCTACAAACGAAAAAGATTCATTTGTGGAAAGTTTTGTCAGAAACAGTTTTGCATTGAAGCTAAAGCAGGCACCGTGACAACCAGCCTGCACAGAGAGCCACAACTGTGTCCCCGCTGCTGAAGTCACTGGCGGCTGCCGCCACACACACACACACACACACACACACACACGGCATCATCAAGTTGCATCAGCACCATGTGAAGCATGAATTTCAAGTACACTGCTCAACTATCAATGGGCCGTGACTCTCACAGTAGACTCCGCTGGCGCCATTGGATGAATGCTAACTGAAGTATTTGTGATGACGAGAAGTTTCCAGGGCAACTTCAGGACCGCTGCCATGGCCTTTCTCAGTATTAGTCATCCCCAGTCTGCGAATAAAACATGAAAATAAACGAGGGAGGATGGCAAAAGACATCAATGACTGCTGCCGATACTGTGTTGTATAATTTGGTGGATTTCCTTGTTGAAGTGACTTCGCCAAGTGTTTGCATTGAGTTCAACTGGTGCTGAAGGAGAGCTGGAGAGTCTGAAATGGAGGAAGCTTTTATCGCCATCAGAAGCTGTGTTGCACCATTTTCTGTAATTTAATTTCCTCTGTAAGTTCTCCACAAATGAGGAATGGTTTGCAAACCTTGACCTGATTGACTCGTTAGCGACCAAGCTACTGACGGAGGGTTTACTTGCTCAGAGAGGTTTGTTTCTACTTCAGTAACTCTTCACAGAGTGAAATGTACAACCCTGAGAACAGAACACCAGGATGACGTCCCAGTAATGAGGAAACAAGCTGAGAGCTATTGTAACTCGAACATTTAGTCCTTTCACCTTCTTTAGGGTTTGCCAGAACTTGACTTAAAGAACGTGAAAGGAAATGATTCTGTTAGTTTTTTTTTTAACAAGTAAATAAGGTTTGTGCGTTATAGCACAAACCTGAAGAAATACTGTATATGTCATGTACTTTAACAGCCACGTGACGTAAAAAAGAATTGGATTCATATTTTGTTTTACAGTTTGACAATTTTAAGTCCTATCTTTGTCAAAATATTGTAGGCATTTTGTAGGCTCGGCTACTTACAATTTCCAAATAACGGTAATAACGGTTACCTCTTTTATCCTTTATTGTCAGTGAAATGTAAAATTTTTGCTGAAAATTCCCTTCTTAATTACACCTTAATTTGCTACATTGCATATGGACAGATAAGACACTTGTTTGCAAACAAAATTGGCCAC